TTCCCCCTTGTTTAAAATCTAAATGCCAAGTTATTTTTTTTCTAAATTGTCAATACACGCAAAGAACTATCAGTAATTACTGGTCGGGGAAAAAAAAAAAAACCTCAATGAGCTTTACGCACCTGGAAAGTATACATTTTATGATATTAGACTAGACTTAAAAAGATCTCGGTACACTAAGCTCATAAGCTATTCAGGAAGCTGTTTAAAACGTAATTAGCCAGTCATTTTTAGGTGTGCCACAGCCATGCAGTTGACGGCACCGAGCACCTGTCTGTGGAAATAGCTCACTAATGCTGTGCATGGGTGTGCCTGAAAATGCATTATGAGCCTGTGTATTTGCAGTGTATTTAAATTTTTTCACTTAAATAATATTTGCCCCATCTTAGGACTGACTGATTTAATTTAACCTTTCTTATGAAGCTAGCTGTCTCTTTTATCTACTATTTGGGAATAACCGTAAGCATGTGACCTGGCTTGGGCAATGGCGCACATCATGGCATCATTCACACTTCCACTATATTACTGTTTCTCAAGATAGAGTCGAAGATCCTTTGTATCGGAATAATCACCTGGGATGCTTGTTAAAATACAAATTCCCAGGCGCTACAGTCACCCTACTAAATCTGGGGATGGGTGGGGGTGGGTTAGAATGGGAATCTGTATTTGTAACAGGAATCTACGTAATTTTTAAGCACACTAAAGCTTGAGGACTAGCACACTAGGCCAAACTTTCTAAGACAGGCACCTCCCTCATATATCACTGAGCTGGCACATGGTACATAGCTAGTTTATGGAGTGAATCAACACACATAAATGTAGAAATTTCTAAGCCACAAAGAACTGAGACAACTTTCCATTCAGATTCTAAGGGACCGTGGTTTCGGTGTTTCTCCTCAATGGCAAGAAAGCATCAGAAGCAGTGTTGTGTGCTGAGGGAGGGACCACATCATGCTCACCCTTGTCTCTCCAGCATAAGGAAGCTTAGGAGATATTTGCAACACGAAGCAGGGCAATATGTCCTGGTATGAGACAAGGTAGAGCAGTCAGACAAGTTCCATGGGCCACGTTCCCTACTGCTATTGTTTTCCAGAAGCATTATAAAAGTGAAGATATGCTATATAACTTTGGTGGTTCTAAGAACACTCTCGGTCAAGGAAAAGTAGATGCTTAGACCACTCTACAGGGTTACAGAAAATTGCCAGGCTTGGATGAGATGTAAACAGAGGAACCACAGAATGTGTTTTGTTGCTAACTCTCTCTTGGGATGTTCTGTAGGTATAAACATTTTATGTTTGTTATTTCTGAGTAGATGCAGTTTGGCTAAGACAAGTCAGTGACCTGCCTGGTGAACCTCACCGTTGCTGGTCTGTGAAACAACACTTGAGGGTGCCAAATACAGTTGATCCTCATTATTTGCTGTGGTTATGTTCTATGGTCACCACCGACACCGAATGTGAACACGGAACACCCCCTTCTCGGGGAAATACAGGATTAGGCTCCAGAGAGCCTCTGGTTACAAAATTTTTGGCAATTGATTAGTACATAACCATGTTTTATGTGTGTTTCTGTTTAAAGACACCTCATTCAGTACATATTGTTGATTCATTAATAGTGAACCCACGACCCAAAGCACTGTAACTCCTGCCTGAACAGAGCTTATCTGCCAAGTATTTTCTCTGTAAGGCACATCACCTTCCTGAGCTCAGGAACACTGGACAGCACTTCAGCACCATGCTAGGGGGCCAGAGAAGGACCCCTGTTTACAGCACGAGCTGAAACAAGGAGGCAGAGTGTTGCCTGTTCAGCCTCAGATGGGAACGTGTGGCCTCAAATTTTTTGCTGCTTTGTGCCATGTCCCCAAATAACTGTAAAAGCACCTCAGTGCATGCTGATTCTGGGGTAACAAAGAAATTTTCGCAACTGGGCAAATAATGAGGATGGACTGTATTTTCCATTTCCCCACTAGAGTCTCTTTTGGCCCCGTTCCTACCTCACTCTCTGCCATGCGGGCCGACGCACCAGGACTGCTGGCCTGCCTGCTGGGCTCAGCCAGTGGAAGGCCAGCAGGAGACTGGTGGGCAGAAGGAGAGTGTGGGGAGGGGGTGCCTCCCTCCCTGCCCCCATGCCAGGACTGAGCCGGGGCAGGTGGCCCCTCTGTGTAGTTTCTCTCTCCCCGCTCCCTTAGCCCACAGGTTGACAGTGGCAATCCAGCTGTTGCTAACCTCCAGGGTTCTGCAATATTCCTTGTTGGTTTCCCTAAACCCTGACCAAACTTTTCAAAATAGTCCCTTTGTTAGACTTGCTTCAATTTCTGAGAGTGCTACCGATTTCCTTCTAGGACTCTGCCTGTATGGGATAATGAGGGAGGGATCTCAAAACAACATGGGCTGCATGGAATTTTGTCACCATAGGAAACTCAGAATTCTTCAATCTGCATAGGCTCCAATTTGTGAAACAAAATGTCAACAGGAATGGAACATTTCTCTTTAATCAAAAGCAGCTGTGGGGGAGTTCGCTCCTCAGATCAGAGTCAAGGAAGATGGACTGCTACCAATAAAAACTCATCTGAGGTCTCCTCCTAGGAGAACTGTGCATTTTTAGGTAGTGCCTCTAAAATCATATTAGGAGAGCATCTTAGACATTTAAATATATCTAATAATGCACATTAACAGGGCAATGATTTTTATTAAACTATTGTTCTACACCTATTCCCATCAGCCTTCCCCAAAACTCCTCCTCTGGCAGAGATATTCGACTTTCCCTTTTTCTTGAAACGTCTTGAGAGCCAAAGCAAAAACTACGTGGCAGTTTCTGCTTTCGTGACTTTTGGAACTCGTTCTTTGTTCACTGCTGGCTACTTTCACTCTCAATGTGCAGGGCTTGCTTGGGGCTTTACAACCCCCTGTGCCACATCCTAATCAGGATAAATCGTCGTGTACTATGGACCTTGTTAAAGATTTACCAACTTTACGCTTCAAGGACAGGGTGGAAAATCCATATTCTGAAAATAACTGATAAAGTTATCCCTGTCACATGTTCAGTTATTACTCAGAGTGGGTGCCATCCACAAACTTCCCCAATCAAGCCCGCCCTTGATTCCACAGGGCTCATTCCCTAGGCTGCAGAGACTATTACTTAATCCGATGAGCAAACCTGAACTTCATGTTATCATTCCAGACGACAGTTACCCAGAGCTATTTACTTTCGAATCTTTAGTTGTTCTTGGCATTGCTGTTTTCCTTATCGAATCTAAACAAAGTGCTGCGCTCCGGAGGACTGACTGGTCAGCGGGGAACAAGGGTGGTTTCTCCAAGGAAACAATGCGTTCAAGCCTCTTTTCAGGGAAAAACCTAGTGCAAACCCTCCTTGAAGCGAGGAGTTCAAAGCCAAGAGCGTGCGGGCCTTGTTGCCTAAGGGACAGGCACACACATCAGAGTAAAAAATGAAAAATTACCATCGGGCCAGGCATTTCAAGGTGGAGAAACAGCTGAACTGTTAAGACCATGTAATAACCAACTGGTTTTTTTTTTTCCCCTTCAGAATACTTAGAGAACTTCATGTATTTTGGTTAAAATTATTTTAATTTTTAAATGTGAAATCACTCAATATATTATCCTTCTTTCTCACAGTTAATTTTTAATTTAGAGGGTCATTTGAGACTAGACAATTTTTGGCAGTGGTTCTTAAACTTTTGAGGCTTAAGGTCCCTTTATATAGCATAAACATTATTGAGAATTCTTTAAAAATAGCCGAGAACTTTTGTATACATGGGTGTTATCCCTCAATATTTACAATATTAGGAATGAAAACTGAAAAAAAAGTAAAAAGATCTATCACCTTAAACTAAGATAACAAGCCTATGACATGTTAATGAAAATAACACTTTTAATGAAAAAATAACATTTTCAAAAAAAAAATTAAGGAGAAGAGTGGCATTGTTTTACATTTTTTGCAGCTCTGATGTCTGACTTCGTAGGAGAAGCCTGGATTCCTGTCTCTGCTTCTGCATTCAACCTCTTCAACATGTTGTTCTAGGTGATGTGGACAAAGAAAATCCAGCCTCACAGAGACATTCAACTGGAAAAGTAAGGACCTCAAAGACTTCCTGAAAGGGTCTCGGGGACCCCAGGACCACACTTTTGAGAATCGCTGATTCATGGATGGTCAGTGTCACGGAGGATGTTTGCTCACGGGCCCCGCTTACCAGCATGAACGTGATCAAAAGTCCTGATATTAATTGCAGGACTTCCACATCATAAACACAAGTATAACAGAGGCAGAAGACATTTACTCCTTTCTCTGTTCTTTCTCTCCACATGAAGAAACACGCACACAGAAAACTGGCATTTGTTCAAATTCCTAGCTGTATTTCAGAACTCTCTAGTTTCAGATTTTAAGTGGCTGCAGGGTGATCCTGTTTTGGCAAGAAACTTGCAAAAATTGCCACAATGATCTAAAGTCAAACTTTCTGGTCTCTATGGGGGGTGGGCAAGGGTGGTCTTATCTACTCATGGTGCACAGACCCTAGCTGACAGCACTCAAGTGGGGGCAGAGAACTGGGGGCCTGGACAGGGGCTGCTCTGCCCCTGAGCCCAGTCTGGCCTCTCACGGCCTTGCATGTTTGGGGACATCGGGGAGATATCTTGTGTTGGAGACACTGATCTAAAAGTCAGAAATAAAACCCAGGAACCAGAGAAATTAACTGTTGCGAAGAATGAGAAACTTTATGATTCACAACACTGGGCCTTTTACCCCAAGTGTTCAAGCTCAGCCTCACTTCACTATTAACTAGCTCCTCAGACCCTCTCCAGAGGAAAGGGGGAGTTCCTGGGAATGGGAATGGCAGAAGCTTCCACTGTTCAGTTTCAGTGATCTGGAGAATTATCTTAGAGTGAAGTGTGTACACAGCAGAAAATCCCAGTTTGGTGCAGGGGCGGGTGAACGGCAGCACCCGAGACACTGGGGTGACCAGAGCCCTCGTGGGCTGCGGCGCTCACCTCGTTGAAGTGGACGTCCTGCATGCCAACGTCTTCCATCATGGAGGCCTCCTCATCTATGTTCGGGGTGATCACCCTGAAAGCTGTGCATCCTTGTCTAAACATGCCTAGAATTGAGAGAGCAGGAGAGACAGTTGGAGCTATCAACCTGAAAGTGGATGAACCGCGAGGCTTCTTCCTGCCCTGTTTGTTTCTGGGTTGAACGAGGACCGATCTTGAAGTCTCAGGCCAGCGTTCCCAAGGGGAGCCTGGGCGCCACTGTGTGCTTTCCTTCATTCGCTTCCTCAATATTTAACCCTCACCGCCCTCAGTTTTTTTTTTTATTTTTCACCCACCTTTATTAAAATGTATGTAATCCTTAAATAAACTGAAATAGGTATTGAATCAAATTAATAGCAAGGTAATAACAACGATAGTTTGATGTGCTAAAATGACCCATGCTCAGATACCAAGAAAAATAAAGAAGCCAAAGCCAATCAGAGAAATAGAGACTCAAAAACAACTCTGTTTACTTCCAGCTGTCATCTCTCCTACTCTGGCTGGGGTAACCCAGAACTCAGATTAGAACTCGCCCTTCTCCTGCAGGAAGCAGTCTACCAAGATGTGACTCAATGGCCGCAGCCGTGAGCTGAGGGGCTGCCTTGGCTGGTTCCACGTCAGCAGGCTGAGGGGTAAGAAGAGGCCTTTCCTCCCATGGAGTCGCTGGGGAAAGTTTCACGTCGCGTGGACAATGTCAGCTGGGCAAAAACGATCAAGTGAAGAAGGGCCTGAAGCGTCCTCCTGCTCTACTGAGATTTTGCTGCTTACAGTACAACAGAAGCCGAAACCTGAGCTGAGGCCTCCCATGCTTCAGGAGAAAAAGGAACACAGAGCAGTTTGAAATCAAGTCTTGGAAGAGTGGACCCTAAAGTCAGAGATGTTTCTGCTGCACATGGTCAAGGTTTCCAGCCCCTTCATGGGTTGTCTAGCATCTCTGCCAATGTCCAGCTTTCACCTTGCTTTTGTTGCATGGAGACAAAGATTCCCCTATGCAAAGCACTAACGTGGGAGCTTGAGGATACATGAGTGTACAGAAAAGCAAAACTATAAAATCCAACCGTCCATGTTTTTGGCTACAGAGTAGATTTAAACATACAACTCAGCTCTGGTGGAACGACAATGGTGGCCAAAGTGCTTTCTTCTCCTTGCCTGCCATCAAACCGGAGTGGCCAGGAAAAGAAGGGAGGGAAGGAGAGCCAAGTCCATCCCAGCAGAGTTGAAAGAGAAACCCCATACGTCTGAGTGTCACAGGGACGGGGCGGCCGGCCCGCTCTCAGCTCACCTCCCCGGCGCCTCCTCTGGCAGATGCTGTGGCTGCAGGGGAGGAAGGACGGCTCCAGCTGGAGGGCTAGGTCTGCTTCTGAACGTGAGGAGATGTATTACCCGACAGAAGGTCTCAACAGGAAATCGTGCTGGCAGTAAGAGAATACAGAGCCCCTCCCTGGTTTCTTTCTCCTTCCAGCTCTGACGTATGACAAGCCTAGATGCCCTTAGATTCCATTCCAAAGACCCAGCTGTACCAGAAAGATAGAAATTCCCTGACCTGGCCATCTGTGGTTTCCTCACATTGTGAAGGAATTAGCCAGATCTGGTGCAGCCATGCTCCAGTACACACATGAACACAATTGGCCTTTCTAAAAGCCCCGTGTTCTCAAATTTGAAGTGGAAACGAGCAACTGGTGTTGAACCAGAGGAGCCGTGACAGAACTCGCGGCCTGCTAACGTGGGAACAAGCACTTAGCACACAGGTGGGTGGCACTCACTCCTGCCAGCTCCTTCCATGGGGCGGCAAGGTTTCAAGCCTGCAAGCTGCCTTCGCACACAGCAAAGCCGACCGGGCTGTGCTCCAGAAAATACTGCCTGATCACCTCCTGTTACAGCTGCCTTTTGACTGATAAACAGTTCCGGTGGGAACTATCTTAAGGGAAAATAAAATCTTTTCAGCTGGAGACTGGCTGGTCAGGGACTCCCAGATGCCAAGCTCATTAACTAGTATTTGCAATATGGAGTTATTAATAAGAGGTTATATGACAAAATGCCACCTACTTTTGTTTTGCATTTCTGCGGTGCCTACCACATCAAGCAAATGTCACACCAGTGAATAAAACAATGAGTACAGTGTACACATACACATACACACACACAGAAATCCCCCACGTCCACATCTTTCTTAATGGCTCTCACTTGTCTTTGCTGCTTTGTGCAATTTTATATTTATTTCACAAAACCCAGGAATCGTTTCTTACCTTTCCGTGTGAGATATTCTGCCACCAGGGCTGTGACATGGACATAGCACATTGCTGCCTAAAACAAAAGACACGTTTCAGAATCACCAATTATAAAGAATGGTCACAATGCTCACAAACAGAAATCTAATGACTACATGTACTTATATTAGATCTCAAGGCATCAACTAGTGTTTCTAATGGCCGACATCTTACCTTTTGAAAAAAGTAGAACAATTCAAATAAATTGAAATTTTTAAACTTTGAATTGAGACAAATGGCAGTAAATTTGCTAAGACCTATTTCTATTTAAAATTATTAAATTTAAATATAAAAGATTTTTAAAAAGCATTTTTTCTTACTATAAAATTTCAGCATTATTTCTCTTAAAGGGAAAAGAGGATCATTTGAAGAAAAGGCATGTGCATTCTTAGATTCAGAGATGAAGTTATAACTTTTTCCAAAAATTCTAAATGAAAATATTATTTTATGTTAAATGGATAACATTATAAACACCTTAAAACAAAAGAAAAAATAAAAATAAATTCTTTTCACCAAGTTGCCATGGTTTACAAAACATTAAAGATAGCCGTTGGAAATGAACCTACCAGAAGGTTCCAATGTCTGAGCCCTGGTTCTTGTCAGAATGATAGAAAAATTACTACTACTAACAGTATGTAATTCATTTTCATTATGACTAATGTATATTTTAGATTAAACCTATGGTCAAACAGAATGGACTCTTTGAATAATCAATAGGTAAAAATAGTTACATAAAATTTTCAGATACAGAACACAATTTTACTAATTTAAACAGTTAGAGAAGTTTAAAAGTAAAAGCACAGTTCTTTGGTAGTACTGTTCATCATACCTAAATGCCTCAGGCATGAATCCTGAGCAGAGTTTTCATGGGAACATGAATACTTCCCGCCTTACAGCCTACTGTTTTCCTTAATTTCCCCCATTTTACAGATGATGTCTTAGAGACACGGAGGGGTTAAGAACTGGCTCAATGTCACCGAGTTAGTCAATGTTGGATCTGGGATCCAGTCTGCCTTGGAGCCCACACTCCCCCTCTGCCCCCGCCATGCTGTCGCTTATTGAACTGTGCAGCTCTGTCCATGAGGGAGCTCTGACATCTGCCACGACTACAGACAGAAACTGACTACCTCAAACAGGAAAAAGCAATGCCCTGTCATGACTTCGATACAGGGAAATGTAATTTTATCATAAAATAGCTGAATTTTAGATCTAGAGAGGAGTTCTGATGCAGAAACTGAGTGCACCTAACTAGCAGGCACCTGTGTGAGCATGGATGTTCTCTAAGAGCCTTCAAACACTGCTCTTTTGTGGTGGAGACGTCCCCTTAAGATGTTGTAAATTGTTAAAATGCTTAGATGACCATGAAGGAACCCCGAGCCCAACACTGTTTAAAGTATCACATATTTTTAACTGGCTTCTTTGAATTACTAGGAAATTTTTCTCATAATTGTCTTCCTTCAGTGAATGGGACACAATTTGTTTTCTCAAAAGCCCGGATTGACAGGCTTGCAGGGCTACCTCGGACAGGTCCCCGTTTTTGACATGGATCCGGGCCATGCTGTCCAGCCACGTCTTCCGGAGCTCGGGGGTGCTGGCGTAGGACTTGGCCAGGCTGTACTGGAGGTCCACCAGCATCTCTGGGTCATTCTCGTGCTCCTTCATCTGGGCCGTGGCCATCAGAACCGTGCGGATCCTTTTGGTCAGGTCCTTCACGTCCGAGGAGAAGGTGGTGTGCTGCAACAAGGGTGGAGGGGGACACGGGGCTTTCAGCTGCATTCTGTCTGTGTGCATACATATCAGATGATGAGGCGGAGTTTTGGGGGTAAAACACAAAACGAGACCGGGCCACCCACCTTGATGAGCCTGTCACTGTTGGCACAGTTGTTGATGATAGACAAGGACTGTTGGAATCTGGTTCCCCCAATGCCAACAACGTCTGCTATCAGTTGGCTGACGGAAATAATGACCTTAGGGACACACAAACGTGAGCAAATCAAGTGAGCAACCTTCAAGTGACGCCCCAGGCTCAGCTCCTGGCTTTGGTTAGGATGCGCACGGGGATGGGGCAACGGGGAAGCTGCGAACAAGGATCGCTCCAGCGTGGGAAACAATGTCTGAGTCATCTGCCCCCTTCCACGAATTATTCTAGAAGGTGATTCTGCTACCCTCCCATTAGCATTTTGCACATCAAAATGCTAATCAGGAGAGTGTAGAGGGATGAGAATCAGATAAGCCCGTATCACTTGGATGGTTACTTACCTGTCACTTTCTCTAATAAAAAGGAAGACCTTATTATTTACCTCTTTGATTTTTGGCTTGAATTTATATGTACCAAATATTCAGTAAGTGGACTGTCTTTTGCATTTATTATTAAAACATGTACATATGAACTATGCAGTGGGGGAATCTTTTGGGGGGTCTATAAATAGCACCGCCTTGGGCTTCCCTGGTGGCGCGGTGGTTGAGAGTCCGCCCGCCGATGCAGGGGACGCGGGTTCGTGCCCCGGTCCGGGAGGATCCCACATGCCACGGAGCGGCTGGGCCCGTGAGCCATGGCCGCTGAGCCTGCGCGTCCGGAGCCTGTGCTCCGCAGCGGGAGGGGCCACAGCAGTGAGAGGCCCGCGTACCGCAAAAAAAACACAAAAAAAACAACAAATAGCACTGCCTTTACCCAGTTACTCAGCTAAACCGTGGACCATGCCTCTCCCCCCATTGCCCCTTCTCATCCTTTACCTTCACCACACCCAGGTATAATCAATCACTAAGTATTGCCAACTCAATCTCCTCTCCCTTCTAACCTCACCACGCCTGACCCAGGACAGCATCCTCTCTGGCCTAAATTTAACCATGGTTTCCCCACCATCTCCCGATTTAAGGCCTTGACTCTCTGATCCATTCTCAGCCTGGAGTCCAGGCGATCCCTCCAAATGGGCAATGTTGCCATCTCAACTTGTTCTCACCCATACTCTCACCTCCACTGTAAGGACCTTCTCTCGTCCCCTGGATGGTCCCTTTCCCATGGTACATGCGTGGCCTGGAACATGCTCACCCCCAAACCCCTCTTCACGTGTCACATCCCATGGGAAGCCCCCTGGTCCCCTCCCTGGGGCACTCGAGTTCCTCTGTTAGGGGACTGGGCACACAGCACAAGGGCCTCAGTGTCTGTCTGTCCTCCAGTAGATGACACTCTGTGAGGACCAGGAGAGGTCCGGTTTTGTTCATGGTTGTATCCATGAATCCCAGCACACAGTTTGCAAGCAATAAACATTTGTTTTTTAAAAAAAAGAGTAAGTACAGAGACGGAGAAGGCACGCCTATATGTGTTTGTAGAAAAAGAAAGTCTACAAAAATATATAAGAATCTTCAGTATCTGGCCTGGTTCACAGAGCAGAGAATTTGGGACACTAACTCTGGAGGGATGGCAGGTGTGTCAACAGAAGGAAGACAGAAAAGAGTCACTTTGGGCTTTCTGTGTCTTACCTAAGATGTTTACTATGAGGTATCCTCTCATAGGTTCTATAAATCTTTACTCAGTAGAATTTCGGTCAGTCGAACATTGATTCGACATTTAAATGTCAATTTACCAATAGAAACACATCCTGGGCCCAAATCTTACGATGTGGAGGATGAAATAAATAAAACCAGTAAATGTGACTTTCGAATTTTCCATCTAGAGGCCAGATTGTTCAATACTTACACCGAGGTAACATGGTAGATGTGACACTCAAAATTTTCCTGCTAAAACATAATTCCACACAGCACACTTGACCTGGAAAGCTAAAGCACACGCACCTGCAGATGCGTCCGGACAAAGGACTTCTTGCCAGTGTAGTCGAAGTTGTTCCTCATCAGGAAGTACAGCAGCTGGGAGGCCTCAGTCCTGATGGAGCTCAGCTTGGAGTTGCAGCATTTCAGGACCTCATAGCATAGGGCTGCGCACATGTCCGCTCTCCGCTCATAGAACGTTGAGGGAAACTACATGGACATGAGGAAGCAAAGAACCCAGAGAGGTAAGTGCCCCGTTCAGCTCCAGGTAGACACAGAAGAATGGGTGAGAATCAAGAGTGACCTTCCCTGGTGAAACAACGTACCTTATAGATTAATGACCTTAAGGCAGTGAAGACATTTTTCAAAGCCGTTTCAGACTGATGTTTTTGAAGAAAACACAGGTAGACGTCAAAAACCTTTTTCATGAGGGGATTATGTCCGTGGTCAGCCAGGAGCTGGTTCTTAAAACACACAAGGACAGCTTGGTCAGTGGGACGTGCCAGACACTGCTGATCGGTTTCATACAACTTTCAGCCTCAAAGGTTACATTTTTCAGGTACTAAGACAACTTATAATTTAAACAAACTTCCCATGAATCCTCTAAGAAAGCACAGAAGTCTTGTAGTACAAACAAACTTATCAATAAATTTATGCTTTGGAGGATTTACTTTTTCTACTAAGGGAGAGACTAATTTAAAACTTCCCAGCAAACTGTCCTACGGTTTAAAGGACCACTGTGCCTCAGTATTGATTGGGTTTCTTTTTATTTACTTATTTTTACTATCACCAGCAACTAATACTGAGGTAATGTTTGCGACACCTTAATTCCAACAGAGAAGTGCCATTACAGGTATCAGCTAATTAATGGGCTGGAAAAAATCACTGAAGTGAGGTGTATGGAACAGGTCCTCTACCAGTGAGGGCTGGGTGTTCTCCCCCGCCACAGGCTCTCAGGCACTCTGTGAAGCCATGAATCACCAGGCAGTCTGGAAGGGGGGAAAACGCACAGGCTTTGGTCAGGCACCATTTCTCACGTGCACAGATTTGCACAGGTAAACCGAGCCTGGCCATTTTCATCTGTGAAACAGCGACCCTAAAACTAAGCTTGCATAGCTACTGGGAAGACGTGAGGTCAAGTATAGGGATCGTCTGACGTCCCCCTGGGAAGACTTGAGGTCAAGTATAGGGAACGTCTGACGTCTGATCTAGCTCAGTTAAGTGGCAAGAGGGTCACCATTAATTACTTCTCCTTGTTCTTCAAGGTTTTCTCCCACCAGCAGCAAATTCACAGTGCTTTAACACCGTGAAAGCCTGGTTGGCTAAAACTCCCAATGATTGCTGCACATGCACAGTGGACAGAGGTGTCGCCCAACTAAAGGCCAGCATGCAGCCACATGTGCTTGACACCGGAGAGCTGTATCTTCAAATACAGACAGGCCTGTCAGGACAAAGGTGTGTTTGGGAGAATGTGTGCATTTTGCACAAGTAGGCAAAAATGACTATCACCGAAAAAAAATGTCCAGAGGTCAGTACCTCAAACCAACCTTACAGTTTAGCCAAAGGAACAGAGATAACTTATGTCCAAATAGTTCGGTTGCACAGCAAATTACGGCTGGAGTAATAGTTTCAAGATTTATCTCATCTTATTGTTGGAGAAAAAGTTTTACTCAAGGAATAAGTTTTGTTTTTTTAGGTCCAGTAATTCACGGGTGTATTTACAGCTGGTAGGACACCTGGAATCCACAGTGATCTTTATATCATGAAACACTAAAGTACAGTATTGAATTCCATCATGTGAAAGAGAAGCAATTTAATGGAGCAGAAAATGTGACTTAATTAACTGAATATGATGTAATTCTCAACCATGAGCAGCTGGTCACCAACTGAAAAAAAAAAAAGAGGTTGTTTCCAGTGTTTGGGGAACTGCTTAGTGTTTACTGTTTCTGAGCAGTTCTTTTCCCAGGAGTCACAGTCCTTCCTAATTATGGCTGGATTAAGGTTTGCATGAATCTGGATATGAGCTTTTATTTTCTCAGCCCTCTTTGCTGGAGATACCCAGGAGAGATGGTTCATACAAAAATCGCTTAGACCTCTGGCCTTGCTGTCTGAATTGGCCTGTCTCCAAGTTATTACCACTGGAGTTAAATTTTCCTTCCTTTCACTCTCTCTGGTCAAGGTTTTTGCTTCCTATTTTCAGGATTTAGTCTTCTTTGGGTTCTGATCACAAAACTTGCTTGAAGAATGGAGTAAAAATGCATACAAAGATATAAACAACCCCTCATTTAAAGGGGTAAGGGACCTTTCGTCCTGAACACACCCCAGTTTACCAGCTGCCTTCCTTATTTTCCAATCAATTTTCTTCTCTCTCTCTCTCTCTCTCTCTCTCTCTCTCTCTCTCTCTCGTTAAAAACGTTGAACATTCAGAAAGGCTCAGAGCAGGGAAAAAAGCAAAACAAAAATCACCTTCACTTTTCCACTCATAAATAACCATGGATAACAATGGAGTATCTCATTTCTACCTCTGTCTCCCTATAGACTTTTACTGAGGATGGGAGAATTTCATTGATTAAAATGAAATTAAATGAGACGTCAGAATAATGGGAAAGGCATGACTTATTTCTAGCAATAAGGTGGAGAATAGGTTATAAATAATTCTCAGGACTTGTCTGATGTGGATTCAAGTTTGACTGTCATTACCAGCCTCCTAAGGAAAATGGGGCTTTCAGAGAATGAACACACATTATCAGTAATTTCTGAAGAGCCAGGAATAGGAGAAAAATGAACTTAAACCTCGGGTGCCAAAATGAGATATCTGGAACCATGTTATTTAAGACAGCTACATCCTTCCTAGGGATATGGCTTGATTTTTATTTAGACACTGATTTATAGAATAACTTTAAAAATCTAGCTTAGAGTAGCACTCTCTCTGTCGTAGAGGCTCACCAATCACCAGGATGACCTAAACCACAGGCTCATGGTTGTGTAAACTGGACCCCAGGCTCCCTAGCTGACCCCCATCATCCACATGCTCCCCACCCTGGTCGTTCACAGCGATCCTTCTCATCATGTACTTGCTGGTTCTCACCATTCACCTCAAATCAAGAGAAGACACTACAGAGAATTACTTAAAATATATTTTCAGATTAAATTTGTAAGTACATTAAAAATATTATCAACTATTTAAAGGCCAGATTTGGTTTAGGACTGTATTAATAGACATTTTAAAATAGCCAGAGAAGAACCATGTTTCTCTGCACGTAATCACCTTGGTTTACAAAACACACCTTTCGTGTATTAAATAACATCTGTGAAAGTGCCCACACAATACCAGCATCTGGTAAGTGCTTGGTAATTTTCTTTTTTCACCCAGCTTAGCTCCTTCCCCCTACACACACACACACACACACACACACACACACACACACACACACACACACACACACACACA